GTTTGATGCCAGTGGAGCTCTAAGCCCAACGGGGTTTGGCCCGAGGTCGGGCTTAGATGCAGCCATTGTTTCAGAGAGTGACTCAGAGGAAAAGAAGAACACCTGGGGGGCCGAGGGTGGGGTTTTGACTCATTCATTTCAAATTGTTTGCTCTCCATCAAGTTGCCAGAACTGATACATTGCAACGGGGACGGCGCTCCTCCAGCCAGAAATATTTTTCGAAAATGTGAGTGGTATGAATACTTGACTTCGATAAACCTGTAAAAGCAATACTTAGGAGGCTAACTTCTTTCAATTAAAAAAAATGTATGCAGCTCCAACCCCTGGGGCCCTGCGGGGGTGGGGGGTGTTTGTTTTGTTCTTTTCCTTTGAGATTCCGGAAAGGAGTCCTTAGGGAGAGCCTCATGGATGACAAAGGGCAGAAGGGTCAGGGCCTCCCCAGTTGGAGATCCAGTGGGGTTTGGAGAATCTGTCCAAGCTGCGTTGGTGTCTGAGTCCCAGCGCAGCCCCCTCCCGGCTTCCACGAGCCTGACAAGCAAGGGCCCACCTTGGTTGTGGAGGGAAAGGCCTGGTGGCCAAGCTGAAAATCAGGCCTGAATCCCAGAGCAGTCGAAGGTGGGGATCCCCTGTGCTGGGCACATGGTAGATCTCCCCTAAAGATGAGGGGAGTGGGCGGGTGAGGGAAGGAGCAAACGAACGACTGAAGTTGGGTCCACGTGCAGTAATTCTCCCCGTTTGCAGAACAGCTGATGCCTTTCAAAGAACCTTCACGTACATACTGTGTTGAACAAGGAATGGGTGGGTGGTCAGCTCCATTCTACAGGTGAGGAGACCAAGGTGTGGGAGAGGAAAGGTGCAGCAGAACTCAAGAGAAGGCAGTTACATACCACCTGTCTTCATGTGATTCTAAGAAGGGTTGCTAAGAAACGTGAACTGGAAGACATTCAAGACAAAGGGAAGCAGGAGAAGGGAGACGTTTCTTTGGGAGAGAGGCCTGTGGGGAAAGCCAAGGGTTTAAAAGGTGCATTGCCGTGAAGTCCACTGAACGTGGAATCATGCCGTCAATGGACAGTGTGACTCCAGACGTCAGCTGCCTTGATTCCTCTGGGCATCACTTCTCCCACCCAGCAAATGGGGAGCAATTCCAGCATTTGCCTGCAATTCCGGTGCCTATGCCTGCAGAGTGACCCTCCAGAGAAGTCAGAAGTGGAGTTTGTATCTTGACTCCTCTTTTACAGGAGTGTGACCTTAGGTAAGTCACATCTGTGAAATGGGGACAGTCATTTACCCACCTCATAAGATGAGTTTGTGTTAATGACAAAGGTGCCCCTCTGGGTAGACACTGCTCCACACCAGGACTCATAGCTTGGCAAGCAGAGCCCAGACCCGATTGCAGCCCCCATTTGCTCCCTTGTCCAGGCGCCTTGTGCAGTGCACAGACTGCCCAACCACACCTGACAGCCCTGCCCAGGGAGTTTTTAAAATTTACTAAAATGCAAGATTTAACAGAGCAGGGACCTTGAGCATTTTATTGAGTACACCACGGTGTCACTGTATATTTGTGGCATGAATACAGCAAATAAAGAAAGCAAAGTTGTGGTGAGGATTATTCGTTCATTCCACAAATATTTATTGAGCCCTTACTATGTGTAGGCCCCTTGCTGGGTGGAGAGGGTGCCTCTGCACAGCAGTGAATAAACAGGTTACCTGCCCTCTTGGAGCTCACATCCTAGGACAAGAGCGGACAACACAACAAATGTGAAAAAGATAAACTAGTGATGGGATAGGCCGGGGGAGGGGTGTCTGCATTTACTACCATCCTGAGGAGCTGTCCTTTGAACTGAGTCCTGCAGGCCATGTGAAGAGCTGGGAAAACATTCCAGGCAGAAGTGAGAATGAAACACACAGATGTGTGTAATAATGACAGCCCACACGTAGGGAACTGGATGCCAGGCTCTTGTTCTCAGCATATTTGCTCATTGAATCTCCACGTAACCCCATGAAGAAGGTACTGTGATTATGCCCATTTTACACATGAGGAGACTGAGGCACAGAGAAGTAATTTGCACAAGTGAGTGGTGAGCTGTACACTGAGCCCAAGCAGTCTAGCTCTAGAGTCTGAGATGCTTGACCCTACACCGTGGTCCCTCTTGATAGCGGGGAGGGGCTCAGCACGGTGAGCACTTTGGCTCAGCACTTTGGCACAAAGTAATAATACTTGCTAATATTTATTGAGCACTTACTGTGTCCCTTGTGCTGTGATAAGCACTTTACATGTATCAACTCACTTAATAAGTGGTAGCTATCATTTAAAGTCATTACTATAAATAATTATAGCCTCTGACCTCATTTTATCACCTCTGAACAGACCAAAAGCAGTGGGGACAGTTGTGCCCACCCCGCCTGCCTGAAGGGTGCAGTAGATGCCTGGATCAGTAGGAGACTGTCTTCCTGTGGCTGCACCCTCTGAACAGACCAAAAGCAGTGGGGACAGTTGTGCCCCCCCCGCCTGCCTGAAGGGTGCAGTAGATGCCTGGATCAGTAGGAGACTGTCTTCCTGTGGCTGCACAAGTGGGAGTTCTGTGGACTCTACAAGGTCCACAAATGCAGGCACACCCTGAGGGGTGATGGCCCAGCTACAAGGCCTGATGCCCTTAGCCACTGGACTAAGGCGGAAGGCACTACCTTTCTGCGGGGATTGCCAGCGGGGCAGTGGGGTCAGAATGCCTCTGACCCTCCCAACCCCCAACACCCACTTAGTGGGAAGAGGAGGACAGTTTGAGGAACCAGGCACCAGGGCTGGCGCACTGGAGCGCAGACAGCTCCCACAGCCACCAGCAGAGGGCCAAGTTGCCCCGAATCAGGGCTCCTGACGGAGCCAGCTGCGCCCCAGTGAAAAACAGCAACAGCCGGCCTGGCAGCTCTCGGTGTAGACGGCAAAGCTGCCAAGTCCCTTCCAGGCTTGCCGTGGCCGGGGCCGGATTTCAGCTCAGCTAAGAAACGACTCCCAGGGTAGAGCAGAGGATCAGAGACAGGAAAACACTCTGCAAGTCTCACGGTGCTTCAGCCTTGCTGACCCCCAAATAATGAATTTTCCAATGAATGGTAGGAAGCCATAGAGAAAATCCTTTCCCGAAAGACAGGACTTGAGCCAAAGTGGACTCTGCTGTGTGTGTTGGGCTGAGGGGGGTGGGGAGGGCAAGAGAGCAAGGGCCCCCGTCAACTCGCTGTAGAATATGGCAGAAGTGATGCTGTGTGACAGCTTCTAGGTCTGGGTTACAGAAAGGGCAGGGCTGTTCCCCATGGTCTCAGTCTCCTCTGCCCCCGCAACCTCTCTTCCTCTTGGGGTGATCACCCTTCAACGCAGCCACCAGGCTGTGAGGAAGCCCAAACTCGCCCACAGGGAGAGTCCCCCTGCCACTTCCTTAGAGGAACCAAGGCCCCCAGCTGCTGGGCGGCATCCGGTGCCAGACATATGCGTGACTGAGCCTCCAGACAGCCTCAGCTGACACTAAGTGGGGCAGAGACGAGCTGTCCCCGCCAAGTCCTGCCCAAAGACAGGTGTGTGAGCAGAATAAATGTGTGTGCTGTTTTAAGCCACTGCGTTTTGGGGCAGTTTGTGATGCATTAGCTAGCCGGAAGAGTGGGCATCCAAAATGGTAAGCACGGTATAAACTCAAACACAGGACCTGCCCGTGGGATTAAATGAGCCATTTATCATGTAGTGAAAAAAGACACAGGAAATGAAGGCAAAAAGGTAGACGTGGTTCCAGTCCATCTCCCCTCCCCTCCTCTGTTAGTGTACCATCAGTTCTTTTCCTGCTAAGGTCCAGTGTGTCTGGCCAGGCCTAGATTTGGCCTCGGCAAACAAAGTTAGTGCAAACCAGTGAGTCCCAGAGACAGAAGGCAGTTGCTGTAGAATCCCAGCCGGTCATGGTTTGGGAAATCAGCAGGCAGGGGATGGTCGCTGGTATCCTCAGAGCTTGCCCATTAGGAGAGCAGCGTGGAGCAGTGCTTTCTCCCCAGGCCGGCAGGGACCTGGGCAGGTGGGGATGTGGCCGCTTCATCCCTCTCTCTGGCCTGGCCACAGCTGTCTGCAGTGTCCTGCAGGGAATGCCTCAGGGCTCTTGGGTGCACAGCAGCTGCCACCAGGCACCGGCCCATCTGCCAGGGCTGCAGTGGCTGAGCAGGGCTGACATCAACCTGCTCTCCGAAGGAGCCTAGGGCCGGGCCTGGGTCTGTTCGCAGAACAGGCCATGGGTCCTTTCCGCAGCTGGGCGGGGGCCGACTCTGAGCCACCAGGGCTGGGCACCAGGACGCCGAGGCTCACGGGAAACAGCCCAAGAAGAGCTGTGTCCACAAATAACCAGGTCAGGGTCCAGCATGGTCAGTGTCTTCGGAGAACATGCTGTGAGAGGTCAGGATGGGTGGAGATCAGGAAGCTTTAGGACAGGGCAGTTTAACACATGGATAAAGTGCGGTCGAGATTGGGGATGGGAGGGATGGGAGGAATGGAGGAGGGGGATGTCCCAGGTCGGGGGAGCATGGAAGTGAGGGGACAGTCATCTGCACAGAGAGAGGCAGGAAACTGGTAGAGCAAACTCCTATGAAAACAATGCCGGGCATCGGGGCAGCTGACAGGTTGAAACAGCAGCCGGGATGGATGGGGAGTCCTCGAAGGCAGACCTTCCCAATGCTGAGGGCTGTGGGACGTGCACGGCTGACCCACCTGTCCTTCCCCGGGTCCCACGCCTGCCCACAGGGAGGATCCTCAGAGCCCAAGTCCTCAAAGCCTTTAGAAGACACCGCACTGAGCCCAGCACAGGGGGATACGGGGTGGGCCCAGATGGCACATGGTCCAGGAGTTGTCACCCAGCTCCCACCTGCTGCCCCGCCCACCTTTTATGGATTCTGACTTCACAGGACACTGTCCCCAGGGACCCCCGTGGTTCTCCCCTTCCAAGCTCACCTCAGTTACCTTGTCCCAGGCACAGCCTGGATCATCTCAGGATGATCCTTGAGTCCAGCTGCTGCAGGTGTTCCTGGACGCCAAAAGGGATGGTGGGTGTCCACATCCTGTGATGGGGGCATGACACACAGAGGTTAGAGGAGAGGGGGTGGTCCCAATGCAAGCTGCCCCCAAATCCCTCCTCCCACCTAGCCTAGTGTGGGGTCATGGGGACACCAGAGGCCTAGGAGCCCCAAGACCCCTTTTTAAAAACTGATTCTGCCACTGACTTGCTGTGTGATCTCAAAAAGTTTAGTTAACCTATCTGTGCCTTATTCTCCTCATCTGCAAAATGGGTCTTACAAGAGCCACCCTATCCCTCCTAGAAGATATGAGTGATTATGTAGACAAAAGTGCTTTGAAAGACAATAAAGTACAGTACTGGACAGTAGACATCATAGTGATGTAATAATAAATAAGTTTCAACCGTATGAAATTGCCAGGTGTGTAGGTCAAAAATGGTTGAATATAAGCGATTTCATATTGTTCAGCCTAGTATATAGAACATTTTTGTGTACCAGACACTCTTCTGAGTATATTGACAAATTTAAACCCCACAATTTAAATATAAATATTTAAATAGGGGGTAAATATTATTGTCACTCCCATTTTACAGATGAAGAAACTGAGGCCAGGGACTTCCCTGCGGTCCAGTGGTTAGGACTTGGCGCTCTCACTGCTGAGGGCCCAGGTTCAATCCCTGGTCCGGGAACTAAGATACCACAAGCCATGCAGTGTTGCCAAAAGAAAAGAAGAAGAAAAGAAACTAGGTCCAGAGGGTTGATGTGTCTGCTTGCCCAAGGTTGAATGCTGGTGAGGGACAGAGCGGGATTTGAGCTCAGGGCTCACAAGGTGAACCACACACTGACTCTCCCTCCACCACTGCTGAGACTTACGCCAGCTTCTCCACATGAGGGCACTTTCTCAGGCTGGCAGTGAGCTGCTGGGCCCCGGCAGCTGTGAACTTGTTGTACTGGACACTGGGAAGAGAAACCCATTGTGGATCCTGGCCCTGGGGACCAATAAGCCCCAGACCAAGGTCATCACCACGCTCTCGACAACCAGACCTCAGCCCAGCCCTTCCCATGATGACAGCAGGAGACCCTGGTCCTCCCAAGTCCTGGCCCCACCCCCACTGCCCAGGTTCCCACACTCACTCCAGCACCCGGAGAGACACCATGTCTGGAAGCACGTGTGCAAGGCTCTCGGCTCCCACGTCGCAGATGCAGTTATTGTACAAGCTGCCGGAGACAGAGGTCAGGGCAGGTGCCAGGGGTGCTGGGGGGTCAGGGCCCAGGGAGAGCCACACCTAGCCAGAATTACTGCCCCACTTAACAGAGGGGGAAACTGAGGCCCAGAGAGTTGAGACTGCTTCTCTGTGGTCATTCAGTGAGTTCAGGGAAGCAGCAGGACTAAGTGGAGGTAGCTTCCCATCTGAAACAGCCCAAGTTCAAATCCCAGCTCTGTGGCTTGCTGCCTGTCTGATCTTTGGCGAGTTACTCAGCTCCCCTGTGACTCAGTTTGCTCCTCCATAAAATGGGCATGATAGAGTAATTGTGGGGAGGAGTAAATGAGTTAATGTTGGTAAAACACCCAGAACAGGGCCTGACATGTGGAATGAACTACATGTTAACTATGGTTATTATACCTCCCAAGGGGGTTTGTGAGAGTTATACAAGTTACTGTGGGGGGTGGGGCAGCATTGGGAATAGCAGGAGAGAGAGAAACCCAGAGTCACTGGGCAGGCTCGGGTTTCTATAGTATATTCAGTCACCATCAGCAGTGTCAGAAATAGCACGACACCTTCGCTGGTGCCAACTTAAGCTGTATCTTCATTAACGAGTGTCCTTTTAACAAGCCAGGTGCAGCCACGGTTCTAATTTCAAGGCCGTGACTTTGCCTTGACTCAGCCTCAGAGCAGCACTGCAGGGCTGCATGTAAAAGCAGCAAGTCTACACTGCAGCAAAGTGGATTCAAGCTAAACTCCAGGAACCCCTGATGTCATGGGTCGGCCGGTACCAGGGCAGGAACCAGGTAGGGGTTTTACAATCCCTTCCTGGGAGGATCTTAGAACCAGGAGGCCCTTCCTCACCCACAGGAAGAAGATTCTTCCCATATTTCATTGATGCCAAGATGCACATGTTCACATTTGAAAATCATTGCGATCAGGATGTGTCTGATAATCAATGGATGTCATTTAATTAGCAGCGTTTTGTCCCCTTAATGGTGTCTTACAAATGGATGGCATCTTACAGTCCATAAAACATGAGGTTCCTTTTTATTTTGGCCATGCTGCACAGCTTGCAGGATCTCAGTTCCCCAACCAGGGACTGAACCCAGGCCACAGCAGTGAAAGCGTGGAATCCTAACCACTAGGCCACCAGGGAACTCCCAATATGAGGCTTCTTAAAGTGTCAATCAGATCACATATCACCCCCACATGCCCCACCTGCTTCTCCATTCACAATGGAAGAACCCCCAACCACTGTCCTGGCCTGCAAGGGTCTCCCTGCATGATCTGGCCTTCCCTGACCTCTCCCGCCTTATCTCCCACCCTCTGTCCCTCATTCCCTATAGCCAGACACAGAGGCCCCCCTTCTGGCCCTCAAAGACCCAACCTCTTTCCCACCTCAGGGCCTTTGCCTCTACTGTTCCCTCTCCCTGTTATGCCTTTCCCTGAGAGCATCCCACAGAAGGGGGAGGGTCACCTCCTCAGGGGTCTCCTGACCTCCCTGGTGAATTCAGTACTCCCTATTGTACCCTCTGGGGCCTTTGTTAGTTTCCTCATTCCCAGCATGAATCAGCGTTTTAAACATTTTGCACAGGGCCCTGTGCTTACTTATTTATTATGCAAGGAACTTGAAAGCAAGACCCACCCTGGTTTTGTTCATAGCTGTATCTCTAGTTTCTAGCACAGGTTCTGGCCCACGGTTGATATTAGAGAATATTAGATACCCTCACAACTCTAGGGCGTGCCAATCACATAGACTACAAACTGCACAGCACACAACCTATGCAGCTGCACTCAGGGACCCTGGCTGGAAGGATAATGAGTTGGAAGGACCCATTAGTCCCCGGGAACCACCAGGCACCAGGCTGGAAGTAAGCAAAAGCAAGAATGTGCTATTCCAACGCCTGCCAGAAGGTGGCAGTGTAGGCACGGACTGATGTGTGTGTGACAAGAGCCAGCCAAGACTACCTGTGCATAGTCAGCATTCTAGAAACCACCCCGGACTCCAGAAAAGGCCCAGTCCTGCCATGCCCTGGGGAAGGAGGACCAAGATTTATTAAGCACCAGAGCCAGGCATTGCACCAAGCCCTTTCCATAGGCTATTGGGATGGTACCCATTTTCCAGATGAGGAAACAGAGGCTAGGGATGAGTAAGTGACTTGCCCAGAGTTTGCCAGATGACCTTCCCCAGGGGCTGCTAATCTTGTTCAGGGCGGTGGCATCACCCAACTCCAGGGGTGTGTGTTCATGTTGGATTTTAGGTCGGCGCCCCCCACTCCCTACCCCCACCAAGTTGTGCAACACTGATGTGGTAGAACAGCCTGTAGTGATTGCTTTCAGGGTCCCAGTGTTGGACCTTACGGCTGGCACCAAGGGGGTTCTCTGCCCGCCCTCCGGCCCACCAGCTCAGCACCTGACCAGTAGAGGGCCCCACTCACCTCAGCCTGAGGAGGGACGCAGCCAGCAAGGGCAGGGCCTCGGCCAGCTTGCAGGCACCCAAGTCAGTAATATTGTTCTGGGACAAACTGCAGGAGTACAACAAGGGGAGGGCTCAGGGCCAAACCTGAATGCCCCTCCCCATCAGTGTCCATCACCCCAGGCTCCAGCAGGGCTGGGAACCCCTGCTTCCTCACAGGGCATCCCAGGGCAGCAAGCACAACATTCTACTTAGGTGAGAGTCGTGGGTGCTGAACTGTGTGAGGGCGCTATGGGTAGACTTGGGCTAAATCAGTAAAACAATGCAGTCACGCCCTGAGGCTGAGTGGGATGATGGGGGTGAGGATGCAGATGAGACAGAGATTGCGCTCCCCCCACACTTGTTTTATGATTTTGTAGCATCCATTCTTTTCCCTTTGGACCACTTTTCAGCACTGTCATTACATAAGGGTTTACATTATTTGTTTAATGACGTGGATTCCACGAGGTGAGGGGTCGAGTCTGTTTTGTTCATTACTCTATCCCTGTGCCTACAGCCATGCCAAGCACATAGTAGGTGCTCAGAAAATATTTAAGTGGGGTAAAAAAGGAAGGAAGGAAAGGTGGGAGAGAGGGAAATGGAGGGAGGGAGGGAGGATGTAAGGAAGGACAAAGGGAGGGAAATCTAGCTTACTCACTCTGTTTCCTTAAACACTATAAATTACTTAATAAGTCTCAGTGTCCTACCATCAAGGAAATCCCTAAGTGAATTCTGGTGAGTTCTGTGGCTGCCCTGATCGTGGTTGTGGAGTAGAGTGTGGGTAGATTTTGATGATCCCTCTAGATTCAGTAAAAAATCATGTTGACCCTCCTGCATCATATCCATCTGCTATTTCCCAAACCCAGAACAGTTTTTTTTTTAATAGAAATTCACTATTTTGGTAATAATGTTTTACTGATAAATCCTAATCTATCTCTCCTGTCTCACCTCCCCAGTCTTTCTCTCACTAGACATTGCTCACATTCATTACTGTACACTTCATAATTATGGATGCTTGTTTGCTTGTTTACTGCATCTCCTCCCTAGAAGATCCCTGAGGTCAGGGGCTTTGCTTTGTTTAAAGCTGGCTCTCCAGGGCCTTGAATGGTGTCTGTACACAGTAAGTGCTTCTTACGTATTTGTTGATTAAATGAATAAATAATTGGTTGAATGGCTGATTAAAGAAATGATTGAATGAATGAATGAATGAATGGGTGGATGATTAAACGAATGCACGATTGAATGGATGAGTGAATGAAAGAATAAAAAAGCTGGACTTTGGGGACAAATGCAGCAGGAAGGGCTGGCCCAGCGCACTCACTTAAGCGTCTCCAGGGCCTTCAGCTGAGGGAAGGTGGCCGAGAGCTGGGCGACACCCTCATCCCCGATCTTGTTCTCGCTCAGCGAGTCCAGGCTGCAGATGGAATCAGATTGGGGGCCATCAGCCAGCACCCTGGAGGCCACCCGATTCTCCCCCACCCTCCGACCCAGCAGTGGCTTCCTCCCATGCTCCCACCCCTGGACACACCATGGCCAGATGCAGCTGCAACTCCGAGCATTTGAGAGCAAATCTTCACCACCAGGGACTGCCAGGCCAACAAGTGGACAGGGCCCTAACTACCCATGGACCTGAATCACTGTTTTCCTTCCTGGCAGCCCCATGAGCTGGAGCAACTTCCTTAACCTCTAGAGACCTCAGGTGTACAATGGGATCATGTTCCCCGACCCTGCCTCCCCACGGGATTGCTGGGAGCAGCACGTGAGGGGAAAAGAGATTCGAAGATCTCGAAAGGATTCAACCTATTTTTATTGTTGGGGATTTCCTTCTGCCATCACTTCCCTGCAGTGGGGGCATCTGGTCACTCACACCAGCCACACTGAGGAAGCAGCAGGACACAGAGAGAGAGAGAAAGGGACAAACAAGGCCAGGGTTTGGGGTTGTCAAAGCCCAATGTCTCTAGGAGGGATTCCGGGGTCTATACTCACTCCAGATGCTGAAGGGAAGAAAAGGCCTCAAGGATCTTCACCAGCTTGGGAAAAGCCTGAGGGCCCAAGATGGGGCCCAGCCTACAAGGCAAAGAGCAGAGTTAAGACCCTGAAGCAGTCATGGCCCCTCTACTGGACCCCACAGAAGGCAGGCCCATCTGAGGCCTTAACTCCCCCCAGCTCCACCTGGTGGGACCCCAATCCCTTCTGCTTCAGGCACATTTCACAAAGCCCACTCAAGAGGCCAGCTGGGCTCCCAGCTGGGGGCTCCCCATCTTTCATCTCTGAGTGGGGAGCCAGTACTTACTCCTGCTGACATCCACATGCACCCTTCTCCCACCCTGGCCTGGGGAAGTGGTTCCCAAATGCTGGCCTGAGGACCACGACCAGTGATGAGAAAGATGGTTTACTTATTTGCCATTGCTTTTTAACAACTAATAGAACCATTTCTTGAGCACTTTTTATGTGCCAGGAACACACCGGGCCCATCACTCAGATCAGACCTCATCTAATCCTCACAATGACTCTGAGCTAAGAGCACTTCTTATCCCCATATTACAGATGGGGAAACTGAGGCACAGAGAGGTTAACGAACTCATACAAGGTCACACAGCCTGGATGGACATTTAGACCAGATTTCGAGAGAATGAGAAAAATAAAGACAACAGAGGGCTATTTTGTTTTTTTTTTTTTTTTCTTTTCTTTGTTCTTTTTTTTTTTTTTTCCTAAATTTTTGGCCATGCCACACAGCATGTGAGATTTAATTCCCCGACCAGGGATCGAACTCACGGCCCCTGCCTTGGAAGTACAGAGTCTTAACCACTGGACCGCCAGGGAGGTCCCTGTTTTTAAAATATGGTTAAGTGTACTCAGTGTAAAGAACAGTCTTTTATTCTAATATTATATCCTTTGAACTTTTTTGACATTAAAATGTTCATTTTTAATAAAATTATGGTGTCAGCAGCAGTTATTTCACTTGTTTGAGTAAACATACTTGATACAAATTAAAAGATGGTAACTGCACATAGTCACTGAAATTTACTCCGAAATATTCTCAGTCTTTGAAACCCCAAAGTCTGGGAACTACTAGCCTCAATGAAAGGTCACAAGATGGGAATCCGTAATCTGATTTGAATCTGGGCTCTACCACTTAGCTTCTGTGGGGCTTTTTGGGCAAATCCCTTAACCTCTGAGTCTCAATCTTCTCAAATTTAGCCCCAATCTTAGGAGGTTTTTGGAAAGTTTAAGGAATTCATTTATCAAATATTGATTGCTTGCCTACTGTGTGCCAGGCCCATCAAGCCTGTCACACAGACAGCCATGAACAAAACAGACAAAAATCATTGCCCTCGTGGAGCTGACATTCCAGGGGGCAAGACAGATAATCAAAGAAATTGGTAAACTGTCTGGTGTGGGAGATAATTGATACAGAGAAAAGCACAGTGTGAGCAGGGCAGAACTGTACTTTTAAATACAGGAGTCAGAAAAGGCCTCTCTCACTGAAAACTAGAAGAAAATGAGGGCGTGGGCCATGCTGATGCCTGGGGAAGAGTGTCCTGGGTGGAAGGCACAGCCAGTGCAAAGGCCCAGGGGTCAGACCATGCCTAGTGAGGTTGAAAACCATTAAGAGGACCCACGTGTCTGGAAAGAGTGCAGGAGGTGAGGGTGAAGAGGTAAATGGGGGCTGAATCAGGGGAGAATCGTCCACCAGCAGAGCCCCTGCAGGGTTCTGAGCGGCTGAGGGGCCTAATCTATATGCACATGAGATCTACAGGGTGCCCGGCATGGTGGCTGCCAGTCTCACGCCCAAAATAGTCCTTTCCTTCCTTCCTTCTTTCCTCAGAACTTTCTCAGGGCTTCTGGCCTGCAGGTGGCTACTCTCCGGGTTCTGGGCTGTTCTACCCCACGGCTGCTGTTCCCCAGAGCACAGTTCCGACCTTGAACTAGGGGCTTTTTAAGCTAAAAATAATTCAAAGCCAGAAGGGGCCCTTGGTGATTGTTTTCATACAGTTCCTCTTTTCAGCAATATTTTTCACCTCTGCACAAATTTGGCCTCTTATCTCTGTTCAAAAGAAGAAACGCTTGGCTTTTTCTGGGGCATGGGGGGAGCTGTGATCAGGAAGAGCAGACAGCTTGTGGGTGACCAGCTGGGGACCTTGGACAAGTTACTTAACCTCACTAGGCCTCAGTTTCCTCATCTGTAAAATGGGGATGATAATGACTATCTCCCAGAGTAGCTCTTGAAATTAATAAGATTATGGCACTGAGTACATTGTAGTTGTTTAATAATTCCTTCTTAATCATTGGATGATTTTAGATCCCTAACAAGGACCTACCATGAATTTAACTGTTTTGTTTGTTGGAGCAACAGCCAGGCTGACCTGACATTTGTGACTTTGGACAAACAATTTACACTCTCAAGGCCTCAGTGTCTGCTTCTGTACAGTGGGGAGATAATATCTCCACCCAGCATGGTTCATCCCTATTTCTTTGTCAGGCTTCAATGCTTCAGTCTCCTCTTCCAGGAAGTCATCTTGACCTCCCCTAAGTCTTCACACTCACAGCCCTTGAGTTTCTGGCCACTAATCACAGCAGGTGGTAATTGTCTATTTACACTGGACGGCAAGCTCATTGAGAACAGTGGCCTCGGTCATATGAGTAGGTCTGTTGAATGAGTGGATGTGAATGAGTATGTTCACCAGCAAATGGGCAAGTTAGCTTCACCCCCGAGAACCTCCAGGACTAGCCCAGACCGGCCATGCCCCAGCTGCTGGAAGCTGGTTTCCAGAGTGGTGAGGCGAGAAGGTAAGAATGATTCTGAGGACCCATCTCCATTCTGGTGGCACAAGCCCAGCTAATGCCAAAGGAGAAACCTCATGGGGACCCGAGACAATTTACCCCTTTGCTTACGCAAACTCCAGCTTCTTTAAGTCTCGGACGGCAGGGAGTTCCCCAGGAGTGTCTTCAGAGGAACTTCTTGTCCTGGAGAGAATGGGCAATGTTAGGGAAGGGCTGGCTCCTCACCTGTCATGGAGCTCCCTCCTAGGGGGTCCTCCTGCTCCAGTGCCCAAAATTCCCCAGAAGGACTGCCTTCCTTGGGCAACTGTTGTCCTCTTGTTAAAAAGAAAAACCTCAGGACAGGATATTATTAAGGCATTACTGTGTGTTTCACAGAAAAGAGCCTTAGAGGAGGCATTACCTACACCCATCCCAGACAGTGCATAGTAGGTGCTCAAACAATGTATGATGAAGGAATGAGGGAAAGACAGTTGCTCTGTGGTCACATTTCCTCTGCCCTCTGAACCTTAGACCTCTGCCATCTAGAAAATGGGAATGATACTGGTCCCGGCTGCCTTGAAAGGTGGCCATAGGTGTCATTTGTGTTACTAGATGCAGAAGGCAGCTTATGAACTCTTAGCAGGAGAGAATATCTCCTTGCTTTAGCTGAGAAAGAATTGGGTACATCATGGCAAGTTCTGAAGTGGACAGAGTGATAAATCTTGGGGACTCTGCCTGGGTGGTGACTGCAGTGAGAGATTTTGGATGGTCATTGGCTGGCGGGGAGCAGGGGAGGTCCCCCCAAAAGAGGAAGAAGTGTTAATAGCAAACTTAATATTAGGTCCTGCATGGTCTGGACCAACTCCCATGCCCTTTCCCTCTCACCTCTGGATCTGCACGAGGTTGCCCAGGTCTTCCACATCCTTCATGGATTCAGCCTTGAAAGGCTCAATGGTGAACTTCTCCTTCACTGCTCGGAGTAGCTTGGCCTCCCCATGCTGCTGTAGGGACTCCCACAGCTCCACTGTGTCACTCAAGGCAGCCCTGTGGAGGAAGGGCTTCAGACCCAGTCATGGTGACTGGGCTAGACCATAATGCAGGGGGCGGGGGGGTGGCGGCTCCATGAAGGGACCTCCTACCTATTCAGATATTTTCCTTCCTCAACTTAACCCCTGCTTCCTCTAGAAAGTTTTCCATGACCACTCAAGCCTTTATCAATTACTCCTTTTTCTCAACTCTCCCAGTGGTTTTATTTCCCTTTTTGCTTTGGCTACCAGGAAGCTCAGTGCTAAATTCTCAGTTGAACCACTACAATGGTGTAGACCTTACAGCTTGGGTAAAGTATGCTTAGGGGGAAGGTGGCAGAGATTCTCTGGAGATTAGGCTTAAATGATCAAACAGATCACTGAAGGATTTAGATTCCTTAATTTAAATTAAGGAACTTTGACTTCATCCTGAGGGAGGTGGGGTGCCTCTGAAAGATTGTAAGGAAGGATGCGATGTGATCAGATGCAATTTCTAGGGAGATGTGCGCTGATGGTTGAATATAAAGTGGAGTGGAAGAGGAGAATGGAGGCAGGGAGGTCAGGGGAGTCTATGGCTTTAATCTAACCATGACAAAACGGTGACTTGATCAGGGGATGGAGAAAAGAAAACGAATTCAAACCCAGGTCAGTCTTAGATTCTAGACGTGGCCCAGCGCCTGTCATAAGGCCAGCCTTCAAATACTGGTTGAAAGAATGATGCTGGCTGTGTGACCTTGGGCAAGCTACCGTACCCCTCTGAGCCTCGGCTTCCTCATCTTAAAAAAGGATAGAATCACTTCTGCCCCCATCTGGCTGCCATTCATGCTAAATGAGACCCCACAGAGTCAGCACTGGGCACAGCACCAAGACTGCTGTAGGTGCCCAAGGCAAAGAAGCCCACTCTCCTGCCCCCAGCCCCCACCTGAAATGGGTGACACAGCTGAGTCCCACGAGGCTCCCCAGTCCAGAGGGGTCAACGCCAGTGCTGCGGAGGTCCAGGGAGAAGTCTCGGCCCGCCGCCTCCAAGGCACTGCCCAGCACGTGGGTGTCGGGAGGTGTGAGCCGGGTGCCCAGGAACGAGAGGTGGGCCGGGAGCCCCTGCAGCACATGCTGCCAAAGCCCAGCATCCAGCGCCTCGTGGGCGCAATGCAGCAGCTCCAGCAGCCGCCCCGCCTTCAGCGTCCCAGGCTGCAGCCGCTTCAGGTACCTGGTGAGCACCTTCTGCTTCCTGTCCGCTGAGGTGGAGCCCGCCAGCCCTGCCAGGGCTCCCAGGCAGCAGGCACGCGGCTGGAAGACCAGCCCCACCAGAAAGCGTGGCACGCCCTCCAGCCAGTTGTCATAGGGCCGCTTCTTCCTCGGGGTCAATGCCAAGTACTGCGGCAGCTCCTTGTCCTTGATTTCGCTGCTCAGAGCCAGCCACACGGCCCCCAGGAAGCATTGCAGGAGGAAGCTGGAGAAGGCCAGCTTGGTCTCCGGGGCCCCCGGGGTGGGCCGCACCAAGCCTTGGGCCACAGCCCAGACCCTCACCTCGGCCGATGGGAACTGGCCCTCCCGCAGGCTGCTGTGGTGACCGCGGCCCAGCTCCCAGGCCAGCCTGGCCAGTCCCACCAAGGCCCCTGGGGGGCTGTCACGGGCTCCTGGGCCTAGTAAGCCAACATAGAGGCCCGTGAGTGTGGAAGGCAGCTGAGCCTCATCACCTAGCTCCAGGAGGGCCTCCAAGAGCTGGCACACGGCCCGGCACACAGTGGGGCTATGGCTGTGACTCAGGAGAAATGGCTGGGACTGGAGGAGCGCCAGGGCTCTCTTCTGGTGCTCGGTGGTCCCCGAACACTCAAAGTAGCGCATCACATAGGTCTCGGCCTGCTGTGCGGAGAAGCCGGCCACTTCGAACAGAGCATCGGCCTTGCTCAGGCTCTGGGCCAGGCGGCCCCGGGGCCGGGCTGTAAGCAGCAGGGTGCAGCCGCTCAGCAGCTTGCGCTGGAAGAGGCCCGCCAGCAGCCCCCGGAGGGAGCGGGCTTCTGCTGACATGGGTCCGCCCGCGCTGTGCAGGAAGCCGTCTTGGGCTTCGAGCTCCTCGAAGCCATCCAGGATGAGCAGAATGCGGTCGGGCCTCCTCAAGATGTAACTGAAGACCTCGTCGTCCACTGACAGTGGCTGTGAACCCAGGAAGAAGAGCAGATCCTGCAGGCGGTAGGTGTCTCCCGGACGGTCCAAACAGTGGCAGGGGATGCAGAAGATAAAGTCATACTGTGGCAGCTGGCCGCAGGCCCAGGCCCAGCTCACGGCCTGGACCCAGTGACTCTTCCCCTGTCCTGCTTTGCCCAGCACGGCGATCACCTGCGTCTCACGTGGCCGCCGGTGGTGGCTAGAGGCCAGCAGCACCTCGCCCAGACTTCCTCGGGCCGGTTGCCGCTCTGCCCAGTCCGGGGTGGTCAGCTCTCTGTCCTGGCTTTTGCCGCAGCTCCTCTCCAGCCTTACCCTCACCAGGTCCACCTCCACCAGGATGCCTTCCGGGCCTGCGGGCTTAGCCTGGTACTTGTTCCGTAGCGAGCAGTAGAATTGCTCCACACTCTCTGCACATGTCAAAGGGTGTGGGGTGGGGGAGAGGAGGATGCTAGTGGCAGGACTGGCCACTGTGGGGGCAGCAGAGTGGCAAGCCCGGCCACCATCACTAGCTTGTTCATCCATTCATCAAAGTTTTTCCTGACTGCCTTCTTGATTAGCTGCCTCCCTCAATTACCCAGACACCCATTCATTCACTCATCTTCTCACTTGATTATCTGTCCACTCTTTCATTTACTCACTAACCTTCTTTTGTTCACTGACCATAGGGAGGTCATGGGGGCTTGGTGGTGCTAAGAGTTAAGATAGTGGAATCCAGGTTTCTGGTTCAAGTTCCAGCTCCACCACTTATTACTGTTATGTTGAGCATGTGATATACCCTACTAGCCCTCAGTTTCCTCATCTGTAAAACGGGGATCATACTGGGGTTGTTTATGACTTTGTTTGTTTGTTTTGGCCGCAAACAATCCCGGGAGGCATGCAGGATCTTAGTTCCCTGACCAGCGATTAAACCCACGCCTCCTGCAATGGAAGCGCAGAGTCTTAACCACCGGACACCAGGGAAGTCCCTGTTTACAACTTTAATAACTGACTACATCTCATGTGCCTGGAAGTGTACCTGGAACAGAGTCAGACTCAGTCGTCTGGCCGTTCTCTCAGCTGCCCTTTCATTCCCACCTTCTATCTCTCCCACACCCATCATACACTCCTGCCTTCACCCACTCTCCCAATCACCCACCCTTCCCTGTTTCATTCTCTCAGCCTCACAAACAAGATGTCAACACCTAGCATGGGCTTACGAGGGGCAGGTCCTCAGTAAATGTTGCTCTAAGTGTAGGTATAACTGGTGGAATGAATGCTGAGATGGCGGGATCAAATGAGCAAGTGAATGAATGAATGAGCCAACAAGTGAGGGATTGAATAAGTGTTGGGTGAATGAGTGACACGAAGCCTCCAGCACCCAGGCAGAGGGACCCTGCCACCACTCACCAGGCCACTTGGGCAGCTTGCTGGAGGCCACGTGAGCTGCTGGGCATTGGGTGGGGGACATCTCATCCTCTGGAGGGGAAGAAGCCAGTGTCAGAGTTAGGGTGAGGGGCACCCCAGGGACCTCCCTCCCTCTGGGGCATCAGTCCTCTGAGTATCGCAAGGTCAGAGCTGACGTGGGCTGAGTCTCCGCAAGATGGAGGTTACCAGGTGGTGACCTGAGGCTGTATTCTGCTCAAAGATGTCTTTTTTTGGCCAGCTGTACTTTTAAAATTTTCACCAGTGTTTTAAAAATCACAACATCTATGTTAAAATCAAGATCTCCAGGGCTTCCCTGGTGGCGCAGTGGTTGAGAGTCCACCTGCCGATGCAGGGGACACGGGTTCGTGCCCCAGTCCGGGAAGATCCCACATGCCGCGGAGCAGCTGGGTCCGTGAGCCATGGCCGCTGGGCCTGCGCGTCCGGAGCCTGTGCTCCGCAACGGGAGAGGCCACAACAGTGAGAGGCCCGCGTACCGCAAAAAAAAAAAAAAAAAAAAAAAAAAAATCAAGATCTCCAGATTCTGCTGACAATTCAGAAGATCTGGCTGTATTGAGCCTGTTTTCCTGCCATGTAACAAGATGGTGAAGGCTGGTGGCCCTTTTTAGGTTTGGCATGGATTCTCCAATTGTTCCCCTCACCAGCTCTCCCATGTATCCCCCCTCCCTGGAGACCCTCCCTGCCCTGTTTTACACAAACACAACTTGCCGGTGTCTGCAGGCAGCTCTGTTCGTGGACCTCATTGTCTGAGGCAATCCCTTCCCCCAGGGCCTCAGTTCTGCTTCCAGTAACTCTCACAGGCCCTGCTGATTCTTACCTGTTAGGTTTGTACGGGAGGTCAGGGCTGGTTCAGGCATGCTGGGGAGGTCAGCTGCCGATGGGGCAAAGGGGCTGGTGGAGCCGGGCCGGTCTGGGGACTTCGGGAGGCTGTGGACAGCTGTGCTGCTGGAGGCGGGTGTTTGGCTGGCCTGGGGCATCTCACCTACATGGGGAGGGCAAGGAGTATAGAAACAAGAAGGAGCCCACTTGGGTCACCCCCTTCCCAAATCATGCTGTAGGGCTGGGAGTCTGGGGAAAGGTGAGGGGAACTTCCAGAGGAAGAAATTTCAGGCCAAAGTTGAGGAAAGAGCTCTGGAGTTACAACTAGGCTCCCAGAGCCTTGGTTTTCCCATCTGTGAAATGGACACAATCAGCTCATAGGGAGCTTAGGGCAAGTGATACTACAGCACTTTTCCCACTGTGTGGTCAGTACTCATTTTCCTGGATGCCCAGAACACCCTCTTGCTCCTGGGATACCAATGCATTATACAAAAACTGGCATGCAACCTTTAAAAGATGCTCTTGAATTGAATCGAAGTATCCCCCTTAGCCTCATTCTCTCTCCCACCCCTTAGAGCCCAACATGCCTTCCCTTGGACAATTCACAACCTTTCAATGTGACAGGTCAGCAGGGACCATTTTACTGACCTGGAAACAAGGCAATTCAGAGAAAGCTATGCAAGGATGCATACCAAACTGTTCACAATGGTATACTAAAAGAGTGAGGGAGAGACTCAGTAACTCTTGTAAGTATCTCTTATTGCTTGGTTTGTTAATGAACATGCATTGATGTTGTGCTTTTATTTTAGATTTTTTTTTTTTGATGTGGACCATTTTTAAAGTCTTTATTGAATTTGTTACAGTATTGCTTCTGTTTTTGTTTTGGTTTTTTGGCCATGAGGCATGTGGGACATTAGCTCTGCGACCAGGGATCGAACCCACACCCCCTGCACTGGAAGGCAAAGTCCTAACCACTGGACTGTCAGGAAAGTCCCGATGCTGTGATTTTAAAATATAATAAAGTTTAATTTTTTTGGAAAAAAAAAGGAGAAACTAAGGCTTACTCGGGGAAAGTGACCCAAAAAATGCCACCTAGCCACTTGGTGTGTCACTCACCCAGACCACGTTGGGGAGCTCTGCTCCTCTGCTTTGATTTTTGGGAAATGGGGACAGAGATAGGTGTTCTGGGGAAGGAGGATCATGAGAAGGTGCTAGGCTAAAACTGGCAATTATCTGGGACAGGGGTAGGGTAGAGGGGGGATGGGATCAGGGGGTAGTCAGGTCACAGGTAGAGGGGGTGGGGAGTCCGGCCTCGCATACTCACCTTGGTAGATGAGTATACTGGAGACCCCTGTCCCAGCCCCTGAGATTTGCCAGAACCCCTGGGGCAGAGTGGAGAGAGTGGGGATGATCTGGATGGGTCCAGCAGGGAGACTCAGGCAGCTCAACAAGGAACTGGAAGGGGGCACTGCAAGAGACAAAGACGGTGAGCTGGGATTCTCCATTAACATCTTAATTAACAGCTGACTCCCTTCTAAAGGGTTCCAGTCTTCCAGAGAGCTGCAGCTGTGTCTGCTTGCCTGTGGTGGTGTTGCTGGCACAGAGAGGGTGCTCAGTTCCCAGCTGATGAAAGCATAGGGCTGGGGGGTGAATTCCCTAATTGGCGGGGATTCCCTGCTGTGTCTCCGAGGAATGTGCTTCCTTCCAGGGCATGTTTTCTGGCACAGACTGGGTTGATGGGGACATTGAGGATGGCATTGGCTGGGACAGAAGTGGGGTGGCACTAGTAGGGTGAGGAATTCCTGTCGCTGGTGGCTTCTGCCTCTGGGGAGTGGGGAAGCCCACCCTCTCCAAGCCCCCTAACATACCGGTGTCCTTCAGCTGGGTCTGGCTGGATGCTGGCTCCTTGTTGAACAGAGCAGGTGGTGACGGGCAGGGCTGAGCCGAGGAGTCGCTCACTAGCCCCACCAGGAAAGCACCAGTCACCACGGGCATGGCTAGGGGCTCAGCTGTGAGGAAGGGCCAATGTTAGGGGCTGGGTGAGATCTGGGTGGGTGCCTGCAGGGGCCTTCCCAGGGTAGGGAGCGCTCTGGGAGCAGATCTCTGCTGGCAGTGGAAGGAAACTCCTGTCCTCTTCTCTGCCCTGGGTGAAGCTGGTTTTATCAGCAACTGCTCTGTGCCAGGCAGCCCTCTACCCCCAGCCTCCTCTTTGTGACTGGGCCCTGAGAGCTTCCTGCCATGGAGAGCTAGGGGTGGAATAGACATATGAATAGGCTGTTAGCCCAGGCCCCCTACCAGCTTCTACAGCGAGTCACTGAGCCCCCGGCCCCCTAAGAGGCCCCAAGCACTGCCCATCAGACTGGGGCAGGAGTTTATCTCCTGCATTTAATTGGAAGCCCTAGGAGGGTGGAGACTTGCCTCCCCCATCAGATTGGGAACTCCCTGAAGACACAGACTATTTCTCCATCATCCTGGGGTCTTTGTGGACAGGGTCCCTGTCTTCTCCATCAGATTAGAACTTTCTGAGGGCAGGTACCAGGCTCCCTCCATCGGACTATGAGGCTTTCATTCCTCAGTCTGTTCCCCTCAGAGGGCCTGGTTGCCCAACCTTTGCAATAACAACTGAGTCGGAGGGGAGCGGAGAGGAAGGGAGGGGAGGAACATCTGGTGGGGGACTGATGAGTATGGGGGAAGAGGCTCACTGAGGCCTGGGGGCTCTACGGAGGGTGGGAGGGCACTGGGTAACCAGCTGATCCGAGGTGACTCTACACTCTGAAAGGAGACATGTGGCCTGGAGGGGCAGTGGAAATAGGTGGTGGTGGTAGGGTGGGGTCTCAGCTCTGACTCAGAGTTAAGAGGAGGGAGGTGTTAGGGGAGAGGCTTTGTAGGAGGAGCTGAATGTCCCAGCAGTCCCTGAACTTCAGAGCATGGGCTATGGAATCATGATCTTGGTTTGAATCTCAATTCCACCTCTCACTTGCTGTGTGATCTCAGACAAGTGGCTTCACCGCTCTGAGCCCTGGCTTTCAAATGCCAGTTTACATGCGGGCGTGAGGGGGCCCTGGCTTTCCTGCCCATCAATCTCCCAGGACCCACCCGCCCTGCTCACCTAGCTTCCTGTGCTTCAGATCCACAGGCAGCTCCTCTGGGAAGGCTGCAGAGAGAACACTATGGTCATCAGCCCCAGGGAAGGGGTATTCCAAGCCAGGAGGGGCTTGTGGACCCCAGCAGGCCCTATAGAATTGCCTTACATGGCTGGGAAGTGGCCTTGGGGGTCCCTTTCCCTCCCCAGCCCCCAGCAATTTCTGCCCCTACTCTTTTGCTTGAGCCCAAACCCCATCTTGAAGCACCCAGGACAGTGAGGCACTGGGAGAGGCAGAGCCACAGAGGGGACACAAGATGAGTTTGAGTTTAAAAAAATAATAAAACCCCTGCTTTTGGTCCCTTCCTAGCTGTGTGTCTCTGCAACACAGCCTCTCTGAGCCTTTGATCTCTCATCTGTGAAATGGGGGCAGTGATTCCCACTTCACAGGAATGCACTGGAAATCAGTTGAGTAAGTATCAAGCATGTAACACATTGAGAAAACCCCTATGTGTCCCTTAGCAAGAGGCTGATGAACCAAATTATGGTTGATTATGTGAAATACCACACAGCCCTAAAAATAACAAGGATGCTGAAGGACATATGGGGCAGTACTGGTGTCTGCAATTCACCTTGAAATGTTCCAAAAATAAAATGGTTGGATGGGTGGATGAATAGAGGGATGGCTAGAGATGTGTTAAGACCACTATAGCCAAATACTGATGGTAGAATGGAAGTGATGGGTATATGGTTGTTTGTAGTACAACTCTTTCATCTTTGCTGTATGTTGCAATTTTTCATAATAAAATATTAGGGAAAATGTTCATGAAATGAAAAGAAAGGAAGAAAGAAGGAAGGGAAGGAGGAAGAAGAATAAAACAGAAAGAGGAAGAGAAAGAAAGGAAGAAAGGAAGGAAGGAAGGAAGGAAGGAAGGAAGGAAGGGAGGAAGGGAGGAAGGAAGGAAAAAAATAGAAAGGGAAATTCCTGGAGGCAGGACCATGTGTTTTCCATTAGTGCTAAGAAAATAACCTCCCAGACATGTTAAATGAAGAAAGAG